ATAAAATAGTTCAATTACATCTACTAAAAGTCAATATGATGTTAAGTATTATATTAAATATTCAAATTAAAATATTTACATAACATGATTACACAAGATTAGTCATTTTCTTCTAAATAAAATATTACTCAATAAAATTATATTTTAATTTGATAACTAAGTTTACTTTATTATTTAGACAAACAGAAAATATTTTATCAATATAATATATTTATTATTTATGCATTAAAATAAAACTATTTTTATACTCCTTATATTTCATTTTTTCTTTAAACTAAGACGATACCTAAAATATCTTTTTAAGTTATAAGTATATTACTAGAGAATCTAGTAACCTTTAGAAAATCTGTACAATGTATATAGTTCTAAAAAAGTTAAGAATGTTTTATGATAAAAACGGTATTCGAATATAATAATATATGCACGATAATATTGCAATACGCAATAACATAATTGTACATTACGATTTAGAGACGAGTTTTGAAACGCATCCTGAATAAGGTAAATAGGAGGACGCAACCGGATACACCGGATCTAGCTGATTGTTTAAACTTTAAATTGCCTTGACAAAAGAGATAAATAGATACAAATTGTATGTATAAAGTTTCTACTATCATGGCATATATTACATTTGAAGTCTGATCGCTGAGGGCTGTGATGTATATTTTAGGAATAACAAGTAACAGAAAAATAGTCGCAGAGTTTTATATATATTAAAAATTATTATGATAAATTATATGGCACCATAATTTAGGAAAATTGGTACAAAAAATGACATATTTAAATTTAAAAATATAATAGAAGTACAAAACTAGCTAAACTTAACAGTAGGTACCTATCTATAGTTAGTAGATCAATTATATTTATCTACTAACTAAAATTAATTTTACCTTAAAGCGTAAAATTATAAATTTAAAATTTTTTCAGATGAAATCAATTTAAATTAACAATTTATGATTTTTGTACAGTTTCAATATTGACGTTGCTATCAATTTATCACGAATTAATCGTTTAGTTATTTCTCACAACATGAATAATTTTTATTTTATTTTTTGACATTTCTTTTGAACGAATGCATTAAAAAAGAATTACTTTAAAAAAGAGATAAGCTCTTAAAATCAATGAGTCTGCTACCAAGCCACCATGATATCTTTTGGGCATAATTATAGAGATGATAAACTAGTCGAGTATAGTAAAGTAGTATAATTAAATTCCAACGACCGACAGACGACAGTTACAAGTATATTATTATGTTTTGAATATATTCATTCGAGTAACAACATTGCGTCATGCTACTTCACACCTTGTATTTATTATTCTAGCTACCTATGATTATAGTTTTATAATATTAACTGCTTCGAACTTATCCTAAATCTTGTGTATACATTTGATTTTTACGCCAATTTAACATGGTGTATCCTATACAATAATTAATAATTATAAGCACGGAATAAAAAACGGATGAACACGTTGATTATGAATGCAATTTTAAGTTTTATGTGTAAAAGTTGTTTGCTTACAAAATTAAACACTTGGCGATGGCGTTAAGCCAAAACTTTAACAGCCGTCAATATTATTATGCTTAAAAATACTTACAATGCATATAATACAATATATACAATACATTTGCATACTGCATTTATTATTAGGAATTCCTAATTAATATATAGGTGTTCAATATGCATAAGCATAATATGTTGTTAACTAAAGAATATATAATTATTAAAATGTACTTTGTTCGATATGCTTAATTATATTTTAACCAAGTCAAAAACTAAAAATAAATTTTAATTGCTTTTTGAACTATCTTATAATATAATATGAAATAAAATAACTTTAATAACTTGTTTACCATTGAAATAATCAGGTATCACTTTAAAAACATATTATTAATACAAAACTTAAAGTTAAAAATAGTTATAAAATAAAATAAGTAAAATATTAATTAATTTTATTATTATGTTCAAACATGTCCATTGCCTACAGTTCAAGTCAAAATTAGAGTGGTCGAACAAAAATGTTTTTATTGGTATAAAGAAATTCTAAAAACTTTGTTGTAAATTTTTGAGATTATTTTGAATTTTTTGGATAAAATACCAGTGTAAGATTAATATAGATAAAATAATACATTAGAATCCAATACCTAGTGAAGTTTATTAACATGTGTCAATAACACGTAGAATTGGGGACATTATGTTTGGAACACCATATGGGTCAGTGGTCATATTATAGTTATCCTGAATTCTAAATCGTATGCACTATACATTATATCATATAATATTTTGGTTAAGTGCAGAATATAAAATTATATGATATTGATAAATGATAAGATATTTTATTCAACATAATATTATTAGGTATTATTTTTTAAGAATTAAGAAAACAAAAAATAAAGATGCTATACTAATCGTCTGCAGTCTGACCTTGTTTTTATTTAATGTTATCTCATAATCTTATAAAGAAATAATATTTCAGATAGAACATTGGAGTAACTGATAATAATGAAGACTATTAATTATATTTAGCTATTGAGCAGTAGATCATATAAAAGATTAATAATACAGTTTCGTCAATATTTTTGAAATTGGTTATCTAATATCTTAAATAGTTGTTCATATTCAATGATAATATATATATATATTATTGTATATATCTTTTTTTTTAATTATTGTAATTGTAAAATTATAATTAGAAATCTAACAAATTTAAAAAATATATTCTTAGTTTTAGTAAACAAAGGATGATTTATTTATACAGGTATAGTATTAGGTTTAAGGTGTTTTGTTAATTACGTAGTATTATTATTAACATTCACATTACCTTGTTTCAGAAATTCTGTTAATTTTTTTTTTTTTTTGGTTAACAAACAAATTATTATAGCAAATAGACAAACAAAAGATTCATTCAACCATGTTCTATACACCGTATTTTTAAACCAAAAATCAACGCAGTCAATGGTTGTAATTACCTGTGTATGAAATATACCATATTCGTAAAATATAATGAGATTACAAAAATGAATGATAATACATGTTTTTAGCTATAGCAATTAAAACCGTTGATTTAGCCAACAAAACTGTGAAGTGCATAAATTATAAATAAAAAAAGAAAAAAGTAAAAATGAACCATTTTATAAAAAATGTTCCAACTCTATTAATAATAATTGTATACATATAATAACAAACGTTTTGAAAAAATAGCTTAAAATAGCAAATTTTCAGTTACTCTCAATGTTTACCGTATTCAGGTACCTATATAATAATTTTGAGTAGATATAACGTTTCCATCAAAATATAATATAATTACTTTCTACAGGGTTTTTTACTCTAAAATCGGGATATGTTTTTACAAAAATATTTATTCTGCATTCAAATTTAACTCATCCATTACAGTGACCTACTTCAGAGAATACTTCATCTGCATGTGTTTTCATTATCTTACAAACGTACAACATAGTAAAAACCGTTTTACGCTAGAAAAAACCATTAAGGCTTTAGTCCATGTTAAACAATCTAATTATTACACTACCTATAAAAAGGAAAAAATTAGCTGTGCGACATGGATTTGAATTTTTTTATATATCACAAATACGAAAAAGTTTTTAAAATCTGTTATTTTTGTATTTTTCAAACTTGAATGACTTTTTTTGTAGTTCTGATATCGAAAATATAAAAACGATGTTGTACAGTTCAAAATATCCTCATTCTAATGAGAAAATTTAGTTGCTCAACTTATTAGTAGAATCGATTAACCACAACACATCTGCCTTGGATTATGTTATTTCAGAGTTCATTAGTGGAGCGGTATAAGTACAAGGAGAGGGATGGTGAGTGAGAAGATTTAAAATGTTGTAAACAGAAATCTGTGTAATTTATGTTTGTGGCATGCAAGTTTTTACACTATGTTCCATGTCTAACGAATATATCATCTTTAACGTATTGTTAAATAAGTCGTAGTCGTGTGATTACTGAGACAGAGGTGACAACTAATGCACTTCAACTAGCGTTAAAGAAATGGGCCGTCCGATAAAACTTTACCGCCGGCAGGATAATGGTGGTGTAAAATGAGCTTTTACCTCCACAAAATTATGTCAAGTCGGAACAGTTGTTTTTCGCATAGCCCCTCTCCGCCTGCCATACACACATTATGGTCGAGGTGTCGGGCGTACGTATTATAAAATAAATGAATAAACGCTGTTTGGGTTTATCATAGGAGTATTTAAGTAGACCATTTATGTGATTAATATTTTATGTAATAAAGAAAAATAGGGATTTAGATGATCTATAATGGTTGAATACCTATTGACTTCGCCTATCGTCTATCACCCCTTTATACTACAATACGATGTTCTAAAACGCATAATTCTCTTTTTTCGTAATCACTAATCAACAGTCACCACACGCCTAATTTGAATTATTTTATCATCTACGCCCTATTAAGTAGTTTAGGTATTAATCGTGAAACGGATTGACCATTTTTACTAAATCTCAATGTTCGGCATGGCCGGCATGCATATAATTTCATCGGCTTATAACATTGACCTTATACATTGTCCACTCAAGTATACGGCTTATCATCAATAATAATCAATGCATACTAAATAGCGTAACCGACGAACGGAACGTTTCGGAGCCGGGAACGAAATTCCTACGTATTTTGACGAGTGGTGACGACAATAGCTGACAACCTTATTATTATCTGCGTACAGTCGATGTGTACGTCTATGAATAATGCGCCGAGATGGCGCAATAAACCGTGCACTCGTGACGTCATCGATCACTTGACACGTTATCGGACACGTCCGGGTACGGTTAACGGGGCCAAGGTCACGGAGAGGGTGACGACGATGACACGTGGGGGGATCTTGGAGGGGTTATTTGACGGAGCTGAGACGAGACAAACACAATACGCACCGTATCTGATAACGTCAATAATGCCTGCCTATAATAACACGCAAAGTTTAACGCGTTTGTCGAATGTTCATCATATTTTGTACTTACAAGATTCAATGATGGCGACGGTGGCGGCGGATCGGGTCTACAGCGTGGTGTTGGTGGAGTGCGACGGCGAGCAGATGCTGCAGGTGGACACGGGGGTGGCAGCGGCGTAGTTCACCGGTCATGGTGCAGTCGCCCGGGTGTTGCGAGCCAAAATCCAGTGCCGGAGCGTACCGGCGAAACGGTCGAGCTACCGATATCGCGATGCGGGGCGTCGAGAAATGTGAAATATAAAAAACCGAAACAAAAATATTAAAAAATGATATTGAAAAACAAGAACGCCGGTTTATTTTCTCCGCTTTGATGTCGTCGTCCCGTCCGCAATTATTATTATCGTTCGTTTTTTCACGCAGTAATGTATTGTTGAACGCGAAGGACTTTCGGCGAGAGAATTCCGTTATCAATCATATGGATAAATGGATTAACACGGGCACATGAGCGTGCATGAGCTGCTGTTACGACGATCCGTGATAACGAAAAATCGTTCCCGAATCCGAAACTCACGTGCACAATATCGCAGCTACGCCGAGGCAAACATATGGCTGGACCTCGTTTTTCGTGCACCGACAGATCGCGCGGTGTCCCAGAAACGGCAGAAATCTTATTCTACAACAGTCGTCGTGCTCATTCGTTCAATCGATAATTTCATTCGGAAATATTTCTCGAAATTGTGCACTAAGCAATTTTACGGTTATGCAGACGCTAGAAACCTCACCGCGTTCCGTTGGACGACGCCACATAAAATCGTAGAATTTTTATCGGTTATTCGTCAAAGTTTTTGCGCGAAATCAATGTTAAACGCCCAAGTTCCCTAGTTCCACTACTTCCGATTAGAAACTAAGTACTTCATTCGATTACGGTAAAATTATGTTGAGCACGAAAACACAACGATTGATAATAACGAAATTCCGTAAAATGTTTTTGACGAAATCCGGACCTGATTTATCATCTTGGCGAATTGGTGGTGAAAAACACGTGCAATAAATATTTGTGTGACAATGCGTGCCCACCAGTCGTGCTTTTGCGCACCGGCTTAATGTAAGATATACTTGTAACAGCGGTGCGACTGTCCAACGTCGAATGTTTACAAATATTTTTTATTCGGGTGCTGTGGAGTAGCCAACGCAAGTTTACCGCGCGATTACCATTTTTGCGAAATAAGTAACTTAAATAACTGTTATTGATCAACGTTTATACCCGCCTTGACTATAATATTATGTACAGTATATATATATATATATATGTGTGTGTGTGTGAGTGTTTTTATATAACATCTATATAATTAATAATATTCATCAGTTGCAACGCGTGTTTAGAAAATATACTTATATTATTTATATTAATATTTCATGTATTATAGAGGCAACGGTGAGATGCACAATTTTTGGTCGGGAAGACGTTGAAAAATAATCATACTCAATAACATTAATAAAGTTTAATTCACTTTAAATACAACATTTAATTTGTTAGTGACTGCTAAGTACCATGTTCAAAATATTTCTTTGTAAAAATCTAAATCGTTAATTTTAAATAGTGAACAATTAGTAGGTAACCCTATTCTTAAGTGAGGATTGTAATTTGTAACCCTGCATATTGTACATTTTGAGTGCAGCTATAACTTTAAAATTGAGTTTGACTGCCAAATTTTTATTTCACCAACATTTTTATTTTTGTCAAAAAAAATCAATAGTATTATAGTGTTAAAAAAGCACACAACAAAACACTTCGTCGAATTTTATGTAAAAATCATCAAATAAAATAAAATATGCATAAGATTTTTAAGTACTATAAATATATGACATTAAAAATAAATGCTTGGCAAAATAAATTAAAATATACTTATTTTGTTTCAAAAATGTATTAACATAGCGAGGAAATATTTTCTTTACACGATATACAAGATACGACACAAACTATTTGGACTACATTATAAATTTAAAATTTTAGAATTTATGCTTACCAGAATACATTTTTGTCAAATAAATAAATTATTGAAACAAATTTATTGTCAATTTATAATTTTAAAATGTCCATCACTCACTTTAAAATTATGGTAATAAAAAAAACCTATGAGGTTCATTAGATAATATTCTTATGTGTATTTAAATTTGTTAATCGACAAATTCATTATAATATTAGGCATAAAGAAGTTAAATGGATTCTTCAGAACACACAATTTGTCATGTTATGCGTTTGTTAAGAGGAAAATAACGCATCATCACAACGTATAGCATTCCCTTAATCTACGCTATCACATCTTTATAGTAAGAAGTGTTTTTGTTGTGGTACACCATTTTTTCTACTTAATTATATGTTTATGTTTTATTTTTTTTAATAATTTTGTTTTTTATTTATTATAATAAAAATGTTTTTGTTACCATGAGGCTATCAATCAATATAAGCAGTAATGTATCTACGTATTATATTATATAATGTATAGGTTCGATTTTTTTTGTACTAAACTCGTGTAATGACCATGGTGGTAAATTTTTTAAATTATTGAGGTAGATGTGTTAGTATCAGATTATAATTTTTTTTTTTTTCAAAATAATTCCATTTTTATAATTGAACAACCAAATATTGGCTAATGTTGGACTCATTAAATATTTGAGAGTGGTTTTCTGTTACGTTATAGTTATTGCGATTAAATTCGTAAAATATTAATACTTATTTTTTATACGTGCTTACTACTCACATACGAAGACAAGTAGACGATCTTTCAAGCAAAAGCAATACAGTCGAGGACAGAAACGCAACAATACATAATGTAAATAACAAGGTATGATTGGAACATTTTGACGATCAGATCCTTCAGTAGGTATGTGACGTGGCGTAGCGTTTAGTAGTAATGATATAATGACAATATGATAATATGGGTAAACAAGTGACGTATTGCGCAGAATTAAACTAAATTTGAACCTTGGCGATCATACCATGTGCTACGTGGATTGTATCACAGCAACAACGAATGATGTGCAGGAACGCGGCGGCCGTTGTAGTCGGCAGCTGTCGTTTATTCCCACCGATATAGTACAACTCGTACTGCGTTTTAACGAATTTGAGTGGAGGGACTGTCCACGTGACTACCCGAGAAGCAGCCGCCGAATTCCTGACTTCTATATTGTTTTCTATAAAAACAGTGTTTTTTGTAATAATTTAATTTTTAATCGTACGATTTAGATGGTTTTTTTAAAAAGGATTGCCTGCACAATTTTCCTGATGTTTTGTCATTCACTAGGTGTTAATTGTTTCATTAGATAAATAAGTTATCCGTTTAAATAGGAACACCAACATGTAAACGGTTTAAATGGAAAACTCCTGTTTTGAGAAAATATACAATGTCCTGCCTTAGTTACTTATATTTTTTTTATTTAGTTCGCTGCACGGCCGAAAAGAAAATTATTTGTTCACCTTTTAAGTGGGTAGACGTTGCCTCTTGATACATGCAACCCTAAGTACCGTTATTATGCACTTATTTGGTTAAGCTTTATAGAAATAATAATATTATGGTTATTTGAGAATCTTTTTTTATAACAGCTCGCTGTAGTGGTGGCTCTCAATGAAGCAGTCATACGAGTATCGATTTAAAATTTTAAACATCTTTCATAAACATTAAAAAAAAATATATAATAGTATAGTTTACAATGTTTTTTATAGAGACCCATTAAGAATTGTCAACCGCTCCTCCTTAAAAGTGTTTTAAATGTCAATTTTTTACTGTCAAAATACCAATATATGGTAAATATACTGATATGATACCAAAGTAGTATATAATTAAACAGTAAAAACAAATTTGACAAGATTAATAATTATTATATTTGATAAATTTAAATGCGCAATAGCTATCAATAATATTTAGAAAGTATATGTATTAGAAGTACCTAATTAAATATAAATCTATTCAATACATTAACTGTCTATATGTTATACGATCAATTTTTATTAATTAGTAAATACGTTTTGGTCATATTTTATAGCAAGAATTAAATAATAATTTTGTTTAATAATAATATTTATAAATCTATAATAAATTACAATAATTATAAGCTATATTGTGTTAGTGTCAAAAAGTACAGGCATTCCTAAACACTAGTTTTGGGTTCTAGCTTTTATTTTGCCGTTATGAATGCTATAAATTGTGATAAATTAATAAAAATAAACTTATAATAATATTTCTAATTGAAAAATATTATTTATTAAAAAAAATTCTACATAATAATATACAAGTGCCATCGTAATAACGCTAAATCCTCTAATTTAATTTCATTACACTACGGTTGCTTATTGAAAACCATTTTTCTGTGCAGGATTGGATTGCCGCAGTGCTACCGTAGTCAGATGTATATTGTAATTTATTGTATTACTATTGTATACAATTTAAATATTATACATTATGATTATTACTATTTATACCATTCACGATCTAATATTGATTCTACGTGCTCCGTTTTGTATACACATTATATAATAATAAATAATTATACCACTATATAGTAATTATCATAATGAGTATAAAATATATACGTAAATTTAATCAAAAACTTTATAATTTAGTTGTAAAAATATTTGAAAACCATCTACGTAAATATTACATCCGTGTAGGTATTCATGGCCTCGCAGCTGCATATGTTTTAGACAAGTATTAAATAATATATAGGTTTACACGTTCAAGTTTTACTATTCATTAGGTTTTAGATTTGTATTTAAAAATGACCAGTTTTAAGACATTATATTAATATACAATTTATATGATGTCATACTTTTGAACATTAAAAATAAAAATATTATTCATACATATAAATATAAATATTAATATTATTTATAATAAAATTATTACTTTATCACTGTTGTGTAGCTACTATCAAGAATAACTGCAATTTTCAAGTATACATTAAGTGATTTCATGGAGATAAGCCGCCGAATGTTGCACTGTAACTCTGCATACCTGCTTGCAGTAAATAAAAAGACGACAAAAAACTTACTTCAAAGTATAGATATTATTATAAATTGTAATATGTAATTAGTCAAAATTTTTATCCTTCAAATAATCTCGGATTAGTATTATACATAATATAAAATACGAATAATGTGTTAGTACTTATTGACTATCATAATAAAAATATATGCATATAACAATCAATTAGAGATATTTGTTTAGTGTAGTCAAATAATGTAGAATAATTTGTTGTCCGTGTTAATTACTTATGTTTTTATGTGATGTAAATGTTGTATTCGATTTTTTATGTAATTTATATAATATACAGATCATCAAAAAATAGGTGGTTAACTGATTTTTGAAACAAATATTTTATATTATCATATAATGATACAAATGTATTGTATGAAATTTATGAATCTGTTTGAAAATTTAGTCTAAAGCGCTTCTAACTTAGATGTATTGGTGCAATTTATTGGAGATAAGTAAGGCACCGTCTACTAAAATGATACATCTTCAAAAAATTAAT